TTCTGATTGAGTTGAAGTTCTGGGATTGTGTTTTAGTCTTTCATTTTGACATGTTTGCTATCGGTTGCAGAAAGCTCCACTTCCCTCTTCAGTAACTGCTCAGCCAAGACCGCTCGTGTCCCTATTTTTCCTGTTGTTCAGGTTTGCCTCTGGGTGACCTCTGAGTAGCGCTACTTAGTTTTGGGATTTCCAGCAGTTTTTGATTTGTATCTAGTTATCCCCGTTCTCAGACACAGGCACTTGTGTCAGTTGATGGCTGACCTTCTGATCCAGTGTCCCCTTGCAGTTCAGTGCACATGCATGATCTGACTCAGGTGGCACTGATGTGACAATCCCGGTCCATTGGACCTATGTCTTCAGGCAGTTTAGGGTACAGGCATAATTCTGACACAAACTGCAGGGTCTACAGTTTGTGAACCACCTGAATCTATGTCTCCACTCAGTTCAGGACTCATACAGGAACTGATGAAGCCCAGATGGGTGGCAGTCACAGACTTCCCCAGCCTTTGACTCACCAGAGTGTCTGGGCCATGGCAAAGCACAGACTCGAATCCATGGGCCCTGCAGCTCCCGGAGTACTCGCTCTCTCGGCACAGGGTGCGCAGGGCTCAGAGAGTCTGCTCATCCAACTCAGAGAGTCTGCTCACCCAGCCCCCAGCCAGAGAAGTCTCCAGGGCCTCTGAGTTACGACCTCCACTCTGCCATGGGTGCCGGAGTGGCAGCGACTCAGTCTGTAATGTCTGCAGGGTCCTTGTTCACGCCCTTCCCTCAGGAAGTAGATGGAAAATACCTGGCTCTCTCTGCGCTTTTCAGCTGGGATCTGTGGTGCTGTGGGTCGAGCACAGACTTGAACCCACGAGCCCTGCAGCTCCCGGAGTGCTCGCTCTCTTGGCACAGGGTGCGTGGGGCTCAGAGAGGCTGCTTGCCCAGCTCAGAGAGTCAAGTTAGGGATCTTGAGAGATCAGTTTGAACTAACTGGGTGGGCACGACATGATCACAAATGTCCTTACAGTCAAAGTTAGTAAGATCACTGGCAGAGAAGATGTGAGTGAGGATGCATGGGGCAGTCAGAGGAGAGAAAATTTTGGTGGCTGCTGACTTCAAGTAGAGGGGAAAAGGCTCCAGATAAGAAAGGAGATGTGCTTGAAAGCTGGAGAAAAACAAAAGATGCATTGTCCCAAGAGCCTCCAAAAGGAATGTAGCCCTGCAGACCATCTTAGACTTCTGACCTCAGAACTAATAAAGAATACATGTATGCTGATCATTCCATTATGTCTATGGTGGGCTGTTATAGCACTCACAAGGAAGCAACACAGACAAAGCCTTTCTGCCAAGGCTGAATTATTTCCACCACTGTCAGGTAATGTATCAGTCATCCTGCAGAGATCAACAGCCAACCCACAAGGTGACACCATTCCCCACTGATGAGCCAGTGAGGCACATGCAGTAGAGAAAGAGTAGATCATGCTGGGTGTGTCTTCCATGCTTTAGGCATATATTGGAGGTGTGAGAATTTTCAATACATCAATAATTATGATTCCTTTAATCCTCATGAGAACTAGTGAGATGGATACTATATACTCCTTTTATAGATGAGTGAACCAAGGCTCAAGAGGTTAAGTCCCTCATTGAGGTCATATGGACAATGAGTTGGAAATCAAAAAATGTGATCGCATGCTGTTTTGACCCATTGCCTAAAGACAAGGGTTTCCATTGTCATACTCTGTTCATTTTTTAGACCTTGAGACCCCTTTTCCCTCTTAAATTCCATCTCTGTTCTGCCTTCCCTAATGGTACAATCCCTGTCATTTACTCATTAATGCATTGAGGCATTCTAATTCCTTAGTCTTATTTATAAACATTGTTTTAAATTCTGTATTTGTTTTTTATTGTTGGAAGGTAGCTGGAGAACTCAAACATTTTTACTGCATTTTCTCTCATTCAGTCTTTTGCACCACATTTTCCACCTTCCTCTGGGCAATTTTTCCAAAACACAAACCTGTGTAAGGCGGATTTTACCAAGGCCCCCTGACCTCCACCTATGCTATTCATACATGTGATATGTGTGTGAGCAAGACCTGTGACTTCCTTCTGAGAGGATGTAGCAGAAGTAACAACTTCGATGGGGCTTGTGTTCCTGATTAGATTAACATTAGATCTGCTGGCTAATGGGACCACCTGTCTCTCTGTTGTTGCTTTAATAAACTAAGCACCATTTAAGGTTATGTGACATGACACTGAGTAGCCACACAAGCTAAGCCTGGATACCTCTTGCCAACAGCTAACAGGACACTGATGTCTTTAGTTGCCAATCTGAATAGAGTGTGTTCTGCCTACCAGTCTGATGAGTTTGAATGCAAAACCTTCCTGATTGAGCCTCAGATAGGACTGTAGCCCAACACTTCTGTGTCATGCCTCATGGAACCATAAATTGAGTTCCCACAAGTCATGTGCAGACTGCTGACCCTTACAAACTGTGAGGTAATGGATATGGACTGTGATACAGTACAACAATTATAATGTTAGTGTTAGATGAAAATAGAAAATTTATACCCCTTCTATCAAAGCTGCTAAAATATAATCCATGAGCCATGATATCTGCTGAGGATCCAAGAATCTAATCCAGTTGCCTATGGAGACAAGGGTGCTCATCATAAGGACCATAAGCCAGTATAGAACATCTTTCTGTAAGTCACAGTTGAGAGTGTTGGTACCCAGACAGGCTATGTCTACGGAAAGGTGACTCTCCAGCTCCATCCATTGGATGGGTCTGGCCAGCAATGCATCATGGCGTTTCTCCAGAAGTATCGTGCAAACACAAGCCCACACAACTACTATGGGTCTCACTAGCACGATGGGCAGATAATCCTTTTTCCTGTGGGCAAAGAGAGTGACAATGCTAAGCAAGGGAGAGTGCTTTGTAGAAGTGGGAACAACATAAACGCTTAACAGGTAAAAGAGGTCATCCTTCCTCATTTAGAAAATACATTTTCAAAGTCTCACATGGCATCCAGAGCTTACCAACACAGCTTAGGTTCTGAGAAACTCCTTTGGGCTCCCAGAAATCTGCCTTAGGAATTCCTATTAAAGACTTGAATCCAGTCTGAAGTGGTGGCATATGCATGTAATCCCAGCACACAAGAGGAGGAGGCAGGAGGATTGTCACAACTTCTAGGCCAGCCTGGACATCATAGTGAGCTCAAGGTCACCCTGAACTACATAATGAGACCTTGTCTCAAAAAAAAGACTTCAGACCAGGTAAAGCTCCTGACTCCCCAAATTTTACCATTTCTTCTTTTCTCTCCCCTTGCCTCTACCCTGTATATATCTTTCCCTAAAACTCCTCTAAATCCTATAGTAGATCCCAGAGGTGGCTGTATCCAAGGCAGGATAACTTGCATGAACATCTCTTAGGCCAACTTGGAGACACTCTGATATGGTTTATGACCAGGGACTTTGGCTCCAGGAACAGTGAGGTGATTCCTCCTCCAGCAGGGACACAGACTGCAATGTTTTTTCCTCATGGATATGGGAAAAAGCACCAAGGATAGTGGGATCAGTTGCCGGCACTTATTCTACAGAAATCTTATGAGTTAAAGCTTTAATAAAAATTTGAAGACGTTTTCTCTTCCTTTAATATTTTTTTCTTAATGATAGAGAATATTGTCAGATAAAAGCAGAACACTGGTAGGACTGGAAGGAAACACTTTTATTTTCTAGGAAGTAAAGACAGTTCTTCACTCAATCTTATTCTCCCTAACTGAGTGGTGATGAATTAGCATTTTCCTCTGCAGTGAAGTAGAACTCAATAGAATCCCATGCTGTGGCAGAAATATCCCGACCCTACACTACTCAAGGCCCAAGTATTACTTTCATATGCTCTTTACGTAGCTGGCTACAGCATTCAATATTTTCATTGAGCATGGGAAAGAAAAAGACTTCATATTTAAAAAAGCTGCACATCCATGAAATCCATCCTCCACATGGTACCAGCTCACAGGGACTCCCTGGTCTTCCAAGCGCTTCTTGTAGAGCAAGGTGTGATCACGGAGGACGTCATTCTCACAGCTCACCAAGAAGGCCTCAGGAAGCTGAGCAATGGTTTCATCATCAGCTAAGAGGGGGGCATTTTCTACATCGAGCAGATGTTTGGTTTCCAGATAGGCAGCCTCATTAAAAGGCCCAGGAAACTGGGGTTCCAGGTCTTTGTTCTTTAAATTCTTGGAGATATTTTCAGAACTGAGCCATTTTCTGTACTTCTTCCAGGTTTCTGGGGGTATATAGGCTCCTTTCAGCATGACGTCTTTCCAGGAGAGGTCAATGGCCATATATCTACAAACACACGTCAACATGAAGTCTCGGGTGAGGAATGGCACATTTTGGTTCTGCTGTGTGGATGGTAACTGGTAATTGACGCCCTGGATGACTGGATAAATCAGAACTTGAGCCCGGATCTTGGGAAGGTCTCTTTGGGCCACCAAGATCTGGGTGATCTGGGCTGCTGTCAATCCTCCAGCACTTTCCCCACAGACCACAACCCGGGAAGGGTCCACACCATAGGTTTCCAAGCTCTTCAGGAAGTGGATGGTGGCATTCAGACAGTCCTTGGTAATGACAGGGTAATGGTGGTCAGGAAGCTTCCTGTACCTAAGGAGAAAAGAGGGAATGAAGTACTGTATATAGAAGTGTCATGGCAAGCCATCTGAACAGTGTCCCTTATAACCTTTAGCAAACTTTCCCCAATTAATTCTTCATGATGACCCTAAGGAGTAATTATGGATATCCCTATTGTCATCCTCTGTTAATGTGAAGAACCTAACTAAATCCTGCCTGTCCAAGTTTCTAGATTTCCAGTTTGTGCTCTGCCTCCATTGATGCACAAATGCCATACAAGACTGTGCAAGTTGAAAGCTATTGGCTTTAGAACAGCAGTGCTGGGCATGATGGTGAATGCCTGTAATCCCATCACTCAGAAGGCTGAAGCAGGAGGATTGTTGCAAGTTCAAGGCCAGCATGGGCTACAAAGTGAGTTCAAGTCCAGCCTGAACTGCACAGTGAGAGCCTATCTCAAAAAGACCCCTCAAAATGTTAGAAGAACAAGCAGTGGTTGACCAAAATTGGTAAGTGAAGCTACTGCTGGTCCTGAGTCAGTTAGGGACAACCATTGTGGGACAGTGTGAAACACAAGGCTGGAATGACAAAACAAACTGCTGCAAAAAGCCACAAGACTACACTTTGGGGCTAGGGGTGTAATTCGGTGGTAGAGTGCTTACCTAGCATGCACAAGGCTCTGAGTTCAATCCCCAGTACTATCAAAAACAAAAAATCCAACCACAGCTACACTTTGTAGTGTGGCATGTTGTCACAGAGGAATAAAGTTTGCAAAAAAAATGAGAAATACTCACCACGTGGAAAACTTTGCTCTCTGGGTTCTTTTGATATCAGTCAATTTGAAATAACTAATTTTGATTGCTCACAAATCTGGGTAATATACTATTAACTCTTCACTAGTTTTCATGGTGATAACACCTCTAAAGTAAAGGAAAAGATGTGGAATCTCTGCCTTCATATTATGACTGTTATCTTTGCTGCTTTAACCCACCACTGAGTAATCTTCTACTCAGTGTGGTACACAGACATATTGAACATTTAAGAAATATTTTGCCTGAGACTATGACACAGGGTTAGCATGGCCTATTGCCCCTTGCATCTGGCATATGTCTCTTTTACCCTACCCTCCTGTTTTTTTAGCACCTCAAGCACTGAAAATCTTTCAGCCCACCAGGACTGGACGTTTATGCAACATGATGCCAGCTGTAAGAGTAACTCAGCAATTTCTGAGAAAATTGAGCCTCTCTTCACCCTTGAAGTACAAAACCAGGAAGTTTTCCACTGGGCCATGATACTGCATACACAGAAAATTCACAGACCAATTTGTCTGAAGCCCCCTGCTTCATAAAACTTTGACTGCACTGGAGCATTTATGCCTGCAATATTTACTCTGGCCTCTGCTGATCAAAAGATGCAATCCTCAGGTTTCATCCCCACTACTTGTCAGTAGTGGAATAGGAAAGCTAAGTAAAGTCAAGGTTAGGTAGCTTTCAGCCAGAAAAATGAAAGCAGAGGACAGAAATGTCTTCTTTTTTAGTGTCCCTCAGCCATGTCCTCCCAGGCCTCACCTACTGCCTCTGGTATCCCCAAGCTCCTCCCCTGGCTGATTGTTACACCAATCATTCCATCAGAACTGCTCCAGCCCACAGGCCTGGACCTGATATCTGAAATAAAAGATGCACTGAGCACTATCCTATAAGATATCAAGTCAGACACTTGCTCACTTTCTGTGCTCTCTCTTCAAGGGATTTTAAGTGTCCCCAAGGGCTTTGGAGACCTGGGCTCTAGTGGTAAAAGTTGAGACACAGTAACCAAGTATCCGTCACTGGATACTGGAAAAATGCTTCACTCTTCTATGTCCCCAGAGACAGTCAGTGGTGCTAAAGAACCTGTTATAGTCACATGGCTGACCTGGGCCAGCCCAGTGTGAACAGGGGCCATTGGCCATTCAGACTCTAACAAGGTGGTTTTTGCTTCTCTCACTTGCCTTCTGTAAAGTGTAAATGTGTTCCACTGCCTTCACATGTTTTGTTTACACTGGATCAGAATTATGTCTTAACACATCTGCACTTGTGACCTATAGTTGATAGGTAGGTAGTTGTTTAATGATGTGATTAGAACATACAGAACCATCATTGCCCCAATCACAGCCAGGACCTTAACCACGACGTTCAGCCAACCCTGACCACCCCAGCAGCTTCTCCCACATCAGTGCTGCCTCTACAGAGAGCAAGGTTACTTTGAATGCTGGATAAATCATCATTTCTCTTCTGTTTTTACATAGTTTTGTTTTAATGCTTGCATTCCCAAAAGTTACTATTTTGATTTTAATTGTTTTAAACATTTTAAAGCACCAAGCTTCATGTAATATTTTAACTGTTTAACATATCACACTACTAAAATTCATGCATATCATTGTGCGTCATCTTATGTTTTATTAATTGGCTATGCAACACTCCACAGTAGCCAGGCAATGTAATGAACTAGTCACTCTCCCAAGGCTGATCTGAACACTGCCCTGCAGCAGGCATGTTTCCAGGTTTGTGCTGCTTTGAATGGAGGGAGCTGCATCTGTGTCCTGAGCACATATGTGTGAGTGTCCATTGCCTCAGAGCCTCTTCTCTGCTCTAAAATTATCCAGGAACCTCCCATAACCCCCGAACACACATTTTCTCCTTCTCTTGGAAGTGCTGAGGACTGTCTTGGAAACTCACCCCACACACAACAGTACAGAATCCGTCTTCCAGGTAAGGAAAATGCACAGGTTATGGTACATATCTGCAAGAGAAAAACCAGATCCAGGGTAGCCCATGAGGAGGATCCAGCACTTCCCCCACAACTCAGGAGAGCAATGCTGTGTGGGCATGGGGTGATGTCCTATCTCTCTTTCTACTCTGGCTACCTCTGAAGTGATTCAAAAGACTCTGCAAGGGAAAAGTCATCTACCTCAGTGTCCAAAATGTGGAGGAGGGAATAGATATTGGGAATCAATTAATTCTACCTTGAGAAAAACGAAACCAGGAAGGGTTAGGATCTGAAATGAACAAAGCAAAGGCAGGTCAAGTTCGGTATGCTTACCTGGGAATATTAATAATTTATTGTGTTTATACTGGATTAGGAAATAAACGAGTGCTGAATGGGACCTGCTATGAATGAGGGTGGGGATCATATGAAATTCCAGTAGGCAGGTTCATTGATGTTAGTGGACTGTGCTACAGCCCAATACTGGGCTCAGACCTGTCAAAAGGTCCTCTGGTCAGCTCTTCTTGGCCTTTTCTATAGGCATAGCCCAGTCTGTCAGTATCCTCTGCAAACCTAACCCTAGAATGACCCCAATCCTAAGATCAAAGTCTTTGGATGAGGGCTTGAGTATCAGGATTTTCTAAATCACACCAGGTAACTAAAATCTCCAGGGAAGCTAGGTAGTGTGGAATGGTGATGATGGACCAGAAACAGTGACAGAATCACTGAGGGGTCAACTGAGTTAGAGATCAGTACCTATGATGAAGATCTGCACCAGCATGCCCCAGCCCAACTGCACATCAGGTCATCTGGGAGCTCTGACAAGTCCTGAAGCCTGGGACCACTCTAGAGAAGGACCCAGTCAGCCGCAGGGAGAACTGGGGTGGTTATGACCTTAAAACCCCCAGAGGAGGCTAAAGACAGCTAAGGCCAAGAATTCTGCTGGTCATGGCCATGATCCTGCAGAACTGGCTATCTTCATGGCACACTCTACCACCATCACCTTCCTTCCTTCCTCTAGGGCTCCAAGCCACTCTTGCTTAGACTGAGCAGAGCCAAATCAAGGTAAGTCAAATGAGGCCTCTGCTGCGGATGCAAAATCAAGGCTCCAGGACACTCAGCCTTCCATGGGCTGGGGATTTAGCTCAGCAGCACAGTGCATGACTGGCTAGTGTGAGATCCTCAGTTCAATTCCTGGTACCAAAATAAATAAATAATTAAGTAACTCAACCTTCCAGAGAGTGTGTTGATGAAGATTACAAAACTAAGCCTAATGCCAAAGCATGCCTCAATGAGCAAAATAATCAAAGTTTTAAACCTTATATTTGTAAAAGTCACTCAGCCCTGCCTTATCTCTTTAAGTATTGCCTTGAAGTGTGAAATTGATTGTCTGGATGACTGAGGTTTTTGGGGTCCCTCATTTTGGAACATGAAATACCTACCTTCTCAGGCTTCCCCCAGTTTCCCCTTGGCTCTAATGACCCTGTTCCATTCCCTTACTGTAGTGCTGGTTCCTCCTCTTCTGCTGGGCCTCGATTGAAATGCTAGCTTCTTAAAGACACCTATTCTGATTAGATAAACTCAACTGTGAATGTAGGTAACTCTCTTCCAACATCATTGATTATTCACCATGTGAAACTACTCACTTATGTGAGTTCACTGCACTGTCTGCCTCCCTGATTGGCTGAAAAGTACACGAAGGCTGGGATTGACACTTCCTTGTTTCCCTTTGTCTCTTGTGCTTGGAAAGAGTCCAACACTAAGTAGGTGCTCATCTTGCTTTTACCTTTGGAAATGACATTCTCATGAACACAGGAAGGCACCTAAGGGACTGTCTGTTGGGGTTCTGAGAATGAAGACTACCGACAAGGATAGGATCCATGGATGGTATGTGTCCCAGTTAACTTTTGAAGGAGAGAAGGTGTGGATTATTTTTTATTTTGTACTGCTGAGGATGGAATACAGGACTTCACTCGTGCTAGGCAAATATTCTACACTGAGGTACATCCCCAGCCTTGGTGATATCTTTGAAACTGAATAAGCTGCAAGTACAGAGGACCAGATGGAAGCAGCCTTCTGGAGGTGAAGGGCATGGGCAAATGAAGGTGGATTTAGAGCTCCATAGTCTTGCAGAGTTGAGGACAATGCATGGGCTTAAGATCACTGTGACACAAATATTGTGGGCCTATGACACAAACAGTGTGGCCCTGTGACCATTCCTGCCAAACAGAAAGGAAGGAGGAGTTAAGAGTTAGTGCTCTAGTGAGGGAAATAGACAATCATACAATAAGAATCATTGGCTGTGAAGCCAAAAATTCCATCAAATTAAGTGAATCCCAAACTATGTCTCTTTGCTTCCCTGAAGAAGCCCATACCACTGTTTCCTTTGACTCACTCCATCAGATTCTTCTGGGATTTTTGGTAAACCTTTCTCTCCCACATCTTGGGCATGCTCCTTACTCAGGCTGCCGAACACTGCAGCTCCTCCGTGGTAAAAGATGATACCTCGCCGGGAGCTGCAGGAGGTTGCTTTGGGCTGAAACAGCCTCACAGGGATTGTCCCAAATTGTAGGTCAGTCACCATCACTCTAGGGTCCTTCTTCTTTTCACTCATTATGTCATGTACAAAGCGGACAAATCTGGGCATGGAGCAAATTCTCATCTTCTCTAGCATATTCCCCTGTTGGAGGCAAAAGGAGGAATGTGAGATGGAGGAGCACTTAGGATCTGGCAGGCAGGTTGCCCCTACTCACTTCTGTTAAAGCATCTCATGTTTCTCTCCTGCCCTCTGCATGTATAGTCTTCTCATTGCATTGTCAGGGTTTCAGAGTTGTGTCCAGGTAGAGTTAAGTTTGCAAACTTTTCCCCATACAAGATTTTGACTGAGTAAAGGTGTTCCAATGTTTTGAATGCTTGTTCCCTCCAAAGTTCATGTGGAAATTTCATTGCCATTGTAACAGTTTTAAGAGGTAGGACTTTTGTGAGGCAATTAGCTGGTGACTTCCTGAATGAATTCAGTCCGCTATGGAGGGAGCAAATAAGTTATCCCTGGAGCAGGTTCTGGATAAAAAGTATTAATAAATTCAGCCTAGGTTTTTGTCTTGCCTTCCTACCAGGGGTGATGCAGGGTACTGTGACATAATCCATTGCCAGTACCAACCTCCAGAATTGTGAGCCAAACAAACTTATCTACTCTGAGATATCTTTAGAGCAACAGAGACAAGACTGAGATGGATGTGAATTTGCCAAAATGATGCCCAGTTTGTGGCAGAATGAGAGCACACTGAACTGAAGACAGTCAGTGGTCAAAGACCTCTGATTCAGATCATTGCTTTCTTTGGTTCTGTGTGGGACTGTACCCAAAGGGGATGGCAAAGCTGTCTGGCCACATATGTCAGCATAGCATTGCATACCTGGCACTATCTCCAGGTTGTAGGGACTCCTTAAACTGTGTAACATGATCATTCGGGGATGTGAGCTGTGAGCTCAGAAGATAGGTGTATTGACAAAGGGCTACAGATATGGTGTGATCAAAAAATACAATGTGTGTTTAAGTTTTTAAAATTTAACCACTGTAAAGACACATTTCACTAATCTTTTCAAATATTTGCCCTCACTTTAAATACACTTCTCATCATTCTTGCCTCCTTTTGAAGCAACTGTGGCCATCTTCTCTCATGTATCTTCCTTCTGTTTTATTGTTATGGCTAACTTGATTTCCTGAATCAGTTCAAAATATTTACCTTTCATGGTCTCTATGACTTTGGGGAAGAGCTGGAAATTACAGGTTGCCTTTGGTGAATGAAGTGGATGAAGACATCCCATAATGTTTTCACAGTCCCACCTATCTGTTGAATGGCACTGGGCAGTAGCACGCACTGCATTTTTTATCATACATCATAGGGACATAAAAGAGAATTCTAGATTGCTTCACAAACTGGCAAGAGCATATTCCAAGATCCATCTAGGGATGCAGACACTGGGCTTTTCCACATGGCATATCTTGCCCAGTCTGCTCTGGCCCAGAGCAAAGTTGTGTAAGAACTCACATCTCCAAGGCTCAGGGAGGACTCTATTAGGGCTGCTGTTAACCCTAGTCTCAAAACTTCCCAAAGGACATGAATTAGAGGGTTCCTTCCCAAAGGATATTAGGCACTTCACTCATAAACACACTGATGAGCTCCTCTCTACCCTATATTTAAGAGACTGAGGGGAGGGATAAAGGGTGAAGGGGATGGAAACAGGAAATAAACAGATTAAAGACATGTCATGTTTATCTGCTACATACAATGAATGTAAACGTGTGTCATACATGTGAACTAAAAAGTAAAATGAGGAAAAGTTGTTCTAAAGATGAAGGGAGGGTGGTGGATGGGGAGGGTGAGGGAAATAAAATTAACCAAGATGTGTTATGTACATGTATCTACACCTGAAGATAAATGTCATCTTTATGTACTAACAAAATCAAGCAAAAAGAAAGTGGCAAGAATGATGGGATTAGTGTGTGTGAAGGGTAGTGAGGGGGTATTTTGGAGGGGATTAATGGCAATAGGGCCTTTATTATGAGAAAATTTAAACATTTTCTATATTTTGATTCATCCAATGTATTTACCAAGTGTGTTTTTAAACTATGGTCTGCTGTGATGTTAGCAGTTGCTTTAGGGGCTAGGAGATGGGTAATAGAGGTGTGTAAGTGCTCACAGATGCTAATTTCCAGGTCCTCTTGGTCAGTAGTAGAGCTCAGGCTTGAAGTGATCCATGCCGATGGTGAAAAATTCCATTAATTATCCAGAGACGGTATTTTTAACCACATAGTCCTAAACCTATTACTCCCTATCACATATGATCTAATATTATTGCCAATTTGATGAGACAGATGTCATTGTCACCATTTCACAGATGAAACTGTCACAGGAGGATTTGCCAATGGCCCACAATCACAGCTAGTGAGAGGCAGTACAAGAATACATACTATCTGGCTGCAGTTGATGCTTCTCACTCTTACACGGCCTCACCTTCTGCACAGTTGCTCTGAGATAATCAGTGTGAGTTGCTTAGCCACTTCCAAGTCCCCTGGTTTGGAACATTGGGATTTACTCAAGTTGTCTGCATCCTATATAGGAAAAAACTGTTGTTACAAAATCCACACCAATGCTGGACAAGTGAGCTGTTGGTGTACTGCCACCATCTCCTCCAAAAAGCCCTGTTCAGGGACATCCTGAAATGCTGGACTGAATTCATTTATAATTTGATCAACAAATGGTACCTTTGAGCTGCCTTGCCCTGAACCTGGTGCCCAGTTTAAAGTTGAATACAATAATCTCAACCTTAAGGTGGGGCGACAAGCCTCAGGAGCCTTGGGAGCTTCATTGAGCTGATCTGGAGGGGAGAAACTCCACTGCTCGCACACCCCTCACCATCACAGGAGCAATAGTGAGCCTTAGGAGTGTGGGAGCTTCAGTGAGCTGCTTGGAAGGGGAGAAACTATGCCCACATCCACTCCCAGCATCACAGGAGGGACAAAAAGCCTTGGGAGCCTTTGGAGCTTCAATTAGCTGCTCAGGAGCGGAGAGACTCCACTCACTGACTCCCATCATCCCAGGAGCTACGCTGAAACTCAGTGAACCACATGGGAGGGAAGAATCACCACCCACTGCCCTTCTGCCATCCAGGGATCCTTGGACTGGAGGAATCCTCATGCCTGGCCCATACTCATACACTACAGGTCAAGCAGCCAGTGTGAGAAGTGCTCAGGACCTGCAACCATCTTGTCTGAAGGAACCCAGGGTAAATCTACTCTAAGAAGGGGAAACACATTGCATATAAACTCCTAACTTAAGATTCATTCTGTTATATAACTATAGGCTTTGCTTCTATACTCTAAAGTACAAAATCAACAGTTACAACAGATGATCAGTTTCTACATTATGCTTATTAGTATTTGCACTACTGTAGCTACAATATCATATATGTTGTAATGAGTTGTTCTCCCTTGTGTAACAATATTGGGAAGCTCTGAGGTAATAATCTCACAGCCATACATCAAAAGACTGGAGACATACCCAAACAGAAAATACCTCACTCTGAATTAATTGAGAAGGTAGGATCTTTGGACAGACAAAAGCCAAGAATCTCCTACACACAAAAGATGTCCCTGAAGTAAACACTATTCCTAGAGAGATGTTGATATTAGTGATATAGCCACCTACTAACAAAACTCAGAAGGATCACCACAGAAAACAAAATAAAATTTTTTTTGAAATAGAAAATGTTAAAACAAAGAAGTAAAATTCAATCTCAGAACTCCAGGACAAGTCAAAGAGACATCAACATAGGAGAAATTGGAAGACAAAACTGAAACTTCTGAAATGATAGCAAATGAAGTAAAGAAACAACTCTATCAGCCTACAAAAGAAATCAGATCATAAATAATAACTCAGGTAAAAAAAAAGAAATGACAACACTAATGAAAGAATTGCTCAGCATATCTAAAAAAGACGTACATAAAAAATAGAGGACTATAAAAAAAGGTGGAAACCTTGAGTGAACAACATAAGAAAGAATTAGAATGCATGAAACAGATTGAAAGAGATATCCAGGAAATTAAAAATTCCATTGAAAGGAGGCAAAACCTATGGAACAAACTGAAGATACCCATTCAGACCTTGAAGACAGCATTGCACCCAGTGGTAATGAAGGAGAAGTCCCTTAAAAATAACAAGGAACCAGGAAATAACAATTCAACAGCTGAAAGATGATGTAAAGAAAAACAATATAAGACTGATAGGTGTCAACAAAAAAGCAAGAGAAAACACAAATGACATAAAAAGACTATTTGCAGAAGTAACAGCAGAAAATTTCCCAAGCATGGGAAAAGAATCTGACATATAGAGAATTGAGGCATATAGAATTATAATTAGCCATAACCAATATAAATCTACCCCCAGACATATAATAATCAAGATCCCAGAAATTCAGCAACAGAACAGAATATTAAAAGCTGTTAGAGGAAAGAAACAGATCACCTATGAAGGAAAACCTATCAGAATCATGGCAGATTTCTCAACACAAACCACAAATCGTCAAGAAGAGCTAGAAGTGAAGTATTTCAGGTCCTGAAAAAAAACAACCTTCAACCCAGATTGATGGACCTTGCAAAACAATCTTTCAAACTTAAAGGAGAAATAAAATTCTTCCATGGCAAAGAACAACTGAAGAAATTCATAACCACCAAACCAATTCTACAAAGAGTACTGAAAGATATTCTAGAAAGAGAGAAAAAAATGACCATTCCAAGAACAATAGAAAGGAGAGTAAGCAATTAAACAGAGGGAAAAAAGAGGAAACCAAAAGCAGGAAAATTACATAACAGAGATAAGCCAATACATGTCAGTTACAACCATTAATGTAAATGGTCTCAATTCACCAATCAAAAGAAATAGACTGGCAGAGTGGATCAAGAAACAAAATCTAACAATTTGCTGCATACAAGAAAAAATTTAACTCAGAGGGAAATTCATACACTGAAAGTCAAAGATTGGAAAACAATACTCCATGCAACAGGAACCCAGAAAGAAGCTGGGGTAGCTATTCTGCTGGGAGACAATATAAACTTCAAACCAAGAATGATCAAAAAAGATAAAGAATGAGACTAAATTCTTGTTAGGAGAAAACTAAAAA